CTCTGCGTTGCCATGATCGGTAAAGGGAGCTAGCATTTTGTCCACAAGCTTCTCATAATGAATAATGCCATTCTCTTCGAAGCCTTCAATCAAATCTCGAAACTCTTCTTCTGTATATTTTTCTCCCATTGTTGTCATAATATGACGAAATTCAGCAACAGAAACAGTACCATCTAGGTCCTTGTCAAAAACTCGAAATGCCTCTTTTACTGCTTCTGGAGAATCAGTCTTATCATCATGTTTTAGCACAAGTGCTTCATAACCAGCCATATCAAGTTCCGACACAGTATTCATAATTTCTTTAATTCTTTCTTCACTTGGATTGAGACCTGCTGCTCGAAGTGCCGTTGGAACAGAAGCTTTGGGTATTTTTCCATCCCTTTGAAGAAGTTCAAAGGCCTCCTTCATAAGGGCGGGGCGTGACATATTCCCTTTCCTTAATCGAGTAAAAGCTACGTGCGTAGATGTATACGAGGGCAATTCCACCAACACAAGGCAAAATAAATATGAAAAATAAAAAAAAGCAAGACAACAAACCCCCATAAGACAGAAACAGATAGCTGAATACGGCAATATTTCTCAATAAATAGTACATGAAACTACAGTTATTTTCCCTTGTGTTAACATTTTAAAGTATTCAAGACATATATGTGAGTAAAGGAGGAAATAAATACCATCCTTCTTTTTATCAATTTCGATGTAGAGATTTTTTGCCTTCATATGTAGCTTTAGCTACATCAAAAAATCTCTACATCTCCTATTATCACCATTGATAAAGAAAACCACAACCACCAAAAAGTTCTCATTGTGGAAAAAACACGTTCAATTTTCTCAAAGCGCTTATGTGCAGCACGCCAATTATAATCTGCAAAATTAGCAGGAATTTGTATTTCTCTTTTCTCTATGTCAATAAAGTAGGGCCTTCCAGGCGGCACAACCCGCAGGCCTTGGCCCCTCAGAAACCAACGATAGAGAAATGCTGAATTCAAGAGGCCCTTAAGAAATTTTTCTACATCGTCGGGGGTGACGTATTCAGGATTGTTTCTACGCTTCGGATCGTCCCAAAAGGTCGTATCATGATCATTAAACTTAACCTCTGCACCAACGCGGAACCTTGCATTTTGAACATTCTCCACCAAAGCTGACTGTTGTTCCTCCATATGAATCTGAAGCGCCTGAAGCCGTGGTGCAACAGTGTGCAGAAATGTCAAAACTTCTTGAACCGATGCTGTGTCAATTACCTTTACTTCTCCAGCAACCCAATCCACGGTAAATGCCCCACGTAGCTTATTTTTTTTAGTGGGTAAGTACTTATCAACAGATATAGGATCTCGTTCTTGAAGAACCCAGTTTGTCAGCGTCCCCAATTCAACTGCTTTTTCAGCAACAGGAAAGCTCACAAGGTGAGTGAAAGCAGGATCATTTGTAACATGAATAGAAAGAAAAGAGAATGCTGGCACATTTTTCAACAGACCGTCATTTTCCAAAAGCCGACGTGAAAAACCGGTATAGTCGGCATCCTCATCCCAAGTTACGCGCTTCCATTTCATGCGTTTGGCCAGTTCTTCAGACTCGTAAAACTGACTCATTGAACGGGATTCAGTTGATTCCCGAACAGTTTCCTTTTTGTTGTCGGCATCCTTCGTTCCCGTTCCTCTTATTTCCGATATCATATCCCTGACGTCGTAAAAATACCCCAGAAAACCTTTTTCCAACGCATATCTTTCTCTTCGAAGCCGAGACAGAACGGTTTTATTTGAGAAAAGCCACTCCAAAACATCTGCCTGAAAGAATGTTACCTTTGATGCCATTAAACAATATTGTTTCTAACAAGAGGCTATTATTTTCTTTATCTTGTACAAAAATAAATAAAAACAATAACAAAAAAGAAGATTAAAAAAACATAATGATAACAAAAAAACGAAAAACAAATCAAGGATGCAAAGATATTGCCAGAACTATAACAAGTTCAAAATAAAACAAAAAAGGAAGATTGACACAATATTTCTGCTTCACAAATATAAAAATATACGAACGGACTTGCGCCACCATGTTCCCCACGGGGAAAAAAAACAAGGACGACACGCATTGAACACGGGGGCCGCAAGACACAGAAGCAACCGCGACCCCTCGCCATCTGGGCGGCCGTGAGCAAAATGCAACGATCCCTCGCGGGGTCGCCCCGCCCATCGAGTGCCGGCCGCCCGGCGCGGTAAGAAAGGGGGGGGGGACGCCCACCACCAAGGCCTTTTCCCCCGGGCGTCGCGCGATGCAAGCCAGTGGTCTTTCGGCTTTGCTTCTTGCCTGGCTGTTTGGAAATCCGGCATGTTTGTATGTTTCGGCTTGCGTGCGGTGCTTGGGGTTGTTTTCGGCAATGGACTTGGGATTGTTGCTGCGGGGCGGTTCCACGTGTGTGATTGTGGGGGTGTTTTTGTTTTCTTCAGCTTCTCATTTGCGTATTGTTCATGTTTTTATTCGTCGTCTGTTTTTTGTGCTTGTGTTTTTTTTTAGGAACGAAAAATATAAAGTAAACGTGAGTAAACGAACAAACATGAGTATAGAGAAGCATATTGTTTCTTTGGAAACATTTTTTAGGCACGTTAATTACCCACTTCAACCGTTGCATTATGAAACAAAGGTAGTTTTGGATACTTTTTTTGATAAGGGAGGCTTTTTAAATTTATGCGACTTGACATTTGCAAGCTATGGAAGTAGAGTACGTGATAAGAGGGCGGAGGAGTTATCGTGGATGGACATTGGAAATTCAAAACCAAACGGAGTAGTTGCTTCGGCGCTTTTTCGACTTTTGGCCCCGGGTGGACATCTGTGCAACCTATTAGAGGCTGTGTCTATCCCACCGAGTAATTTTGCAGCACGCCTAAAAGGTTCTTGGAAGGAGAATGTGGGCGAGGAGTCGGATGTCAAATTTCCTTTTTATTTTTTTGATATACCCATGTCAGCTTTATATGCATCGTCGTATGAATTATTATCAGAATCGGCTGATACAAATTGGTATAATCTGTCTCGTTCTCGCTGTCCTCCCATGTTTCTTATTCCCTTTTGGAATCCGCCTCTTGTAACACGTTTTGAAGCAGATCATGGACAAGTGTTGACTTCACTTTCATGTTCTCCTCTTGCTTACTTTATTTTGCGGATGCTTTTTTATCTCATACACAAAGCAGAAAAAAATGGTGTTGACATGGTTTGTCTTCCACGTATAGATACGGCACGCAGAAGAGTTGGTGCATGGTTTAATATTTTAATGGGTTATGTTCGCAATTCTCCCTCTACGGAACTACCATTATACCATCGATTGTTGACGGCATATATTCAGTATTTTGTATCCGTTTCTTTTATTGAGCGTATTAGTTCAAAACGGGCCTTGGAAGATGTTCAGTGGTCTACATCAGATGTGATAGCTGCGTTGCTTCTCTCTGCCCCAACTTTTTTATGTATGCGAGGTGTTCGTCAGCCGGACCTAGAGATTTATAGAACACCGTGCAGAGATGTTGTTTCCGGGGCACTTGTATTTAAAATGATTCCATTTTTGACTGAATGTATTCTTGCGCTTAAACAAAATGGCACTGATGAGCCCTTTGTAGGTATGTCAAATTATTTTATTCTGCCACAGAAAGAAATTTGTGTGGATTCTTTAGTTATGTCATCCCGGGATGTTCTTTTTTCCAATATTTCTTTTTACAGAAATACCTTGATTGCGCTTCGTCAATCTCTGATTTCCCTTAATATTTTTAGAGATTGTAGAAGGGAACATTTTAATAATTCGCTTGAACTCTGGTATTTGTTGATTAAACCAAATGAAAATAGAGAGATGAGGGAAACTTATGTTGTTCATCATTATGAAATTTATAGTTTTTTTCTTGTTGATGTTTTTTCCATGTTGTTGAAAAGCAATTTTTTGACATGCATTGATTTTGCGGGTGCCTCTATGTTGCTACGATGTTTGGAGGTCTTTTCTATGAATTCAGTACGAAATGTTTTTCGTGAAGTAAACAACAATGGTATTCATTCGCGATTGAATATTATAGAAACTATAAGTCAACACTTTACATTGAATTGGGCAGATGAGGATGGAGCAGCACATGTTCTTAACGTGTTTGGAACAGAAATTCTTAATTTAGCGGCGGAGGTATGTCTAGCAGTTGAAGTACGGATAGAAAAAGGTGATCTGGAACCTGCGGTGTCTGTCTCATTAAAACATTCTCATGATTTTATTTTAAATATATTTGAAGGTTTACATTCCGTGCTGGAGAAATGTCGACATATGCCTGACTCTTGCTGTAAGCCAAATGGACGCGTTCGTGCTTCCTCGACGCCTAACGAGCCACGAACACAATTAAATACAGAAGAGGAAAAGGAATTATTCTTTAAAGGAATTCGACGTTCTTGTGGGTTTTCTGGGCCATTGAATCTACGTTTTGCTACTGAAAATAAGTTTTTACCGGGCACTTATGATGTTGCTGCAGAGACAGGTTTAGGCAATGAATTTCCATGTTTACTTATTATAACGAAAATTTTGGATGTTTTCCTTCATAAATTCTTTGAGTTTTACTACTCTGCATGGATACCTACGTGTAGTAGAGGACATAAGATGTGGTTACTTTCTTTGAGTAAATTTACCTGCATAAATCATCCCGAAGAATCTGCGGTGTGGGAGTGTGCTTTTTGTGAAGAGGTTTATGGTGTTTGCTGCCGTTCCAATCCTTATGGTCGGGATGGCAAAAAACTCGTTAGGGTAGAAAATTTTCAGCCCGATTTGACATACTACTGTTCAGAGTGTTATTCGTATCTTCCGCCAAGCATTGTTTTCTATACTTTGCCGACATCAAAAACAGCTTTGTGTCCGGATTGTGCGTCGCGCCCCTTTAGAAGGAGAAGTTTTCGCATTTTGGCAGCGTATAAGACGTGGATAATAATTCTATTTGTTTTTATTTTGTTCACGTTTTTTTATAGCATCTGAAACTATGGCCAACTGAAAATTTTACCGTATTCCCTATTTCAACTTTTTTACCCCTTCACTGTATAAATGAATTTAATAGAATCAAAGAAATGAACGACATTTGAATGATGAGACAACGCTTAAGTTCATTGCTTTATTGTAAAATTTTTCATTTTTTTTATTTTTCATTGTTTTTGGGTATATATATGCTTATTATTATTATTATTATTTGGTGCGTGTGTCTTCTCTCAAACGATAAACATATATATTTAAAGGATTTATTATTAGGCCTGACGCAATAAGTATAAAAGGGGGGAAAAAGGAACGAGATAAAAAAAAAGCTGAGTGACGATGGTTGAGGAGGAGTTAACTCTTTTTCGTGCGAAGTTGCCAGGCCTGTATACGAGTGGCGCTACGGGGCCAGGGGTTGGACCGGGGTCTTATAACATCGCATATACTTCTTCCAAGCCCATTCATGGCGAGGCTCCGTTTGGCATTACAAGCGATAGGTTTGCTTCGCATCGTGGTGCCCCGACGCCTGGTGTTGGGACCTATGATGTGACTTTTAATGAGGCCGGGACTGGGGACATTACTATGGTTCCATTTGCTTCTTCAGTGGCTCGTTTTTATGCACCCCGCGCCGATGAAGTTCCTGGCCCAGGGGCATATCCTCACGATGGTAATAGGTGGGGTAAAAATGGGCGTGCTCATACCATTGGGACATTTCGTTTTAAGGGCACTGAGGATGCGTTTTTTCTGGGTCCAGGCTCATATAACCCAAATTATGATTCGGGTCGTCGCGCACATCCACGTGCGGCTAATTTTGGCGGTTATAGTGGCCGTGGCGATCCTCAGTTTAGCGATGTACCAGGACCTGGACATTATGACATTGCAGCTTCTGCAAAGTCTATTTACGATAATAAACCCAGTTCAATGTTTGCAACAAAAACTGTGCGTTCAGTCTTTGGAGGCAAGGCGGGGACTCCAGGGCCTGGGACTTATGATTTGCCTTCGTATTTTCAATCCTTAGAACAATATCGTGATGCAAACCCTGAAACTTTTTTTGCTTTTGGTTCCTCAGCGCTTCGTTATGGCCCCTATGAGCCTACAGATTTACCGGGTCCAGGTACTTACACAGGAGAAATTGCACCGCGTCGTCCAAAGACGCTGCCAAAAACGAAGGGAACATCTTCGTTTGCCTCCGAAACAAACCGAAACAGGCTACCTTGTGGAACGAACCTCGGTCCTGGGGCGTATGAGCTCAGTAAACCTATTAACGTGCGGAAACATCAATTGGCTTCTGTGCCTTTTCGCTCCCGTTTGTCAAGATTTCCTTCACCAAAACGCACGGAAGCAGGAGAAATTGTTGAACCATATCGTACTCTTGTACGTGTACCACGCCGTATTCATCCTGCTAGATTTTTGGGTGATACCGTCGTCACCGCACCAAAAATGGGTTCAAGATCCGTTGTTCCAGATCGTGTTTATGATGTCAAGAATGATTGGACGAAACCTACTTGTACAAGTGGCTCGTATTTGGGTACTGCCCCTCGTTTTGAGAAAAAAGCCTTGAATGATTTTCCTGGTCCGGGCCAGTATGATGTTTTAAAAAAAGATTTGTCGAATGGGGCAAAATCGTTAAATGGCACATGGGGAACTGATGGAAGGTTTAAGTCCGGCAATGGAGGTGGCGATCCTGGCCCAGGACACTATCGCTCTGACAGCACCTTCTACAAAAAGAGCTTTAACTGTACCATTGGTTTTACAGAGGAGATGTAAACTAAAGATGATGTTTTTTTTTTTGCTCATGCTTTTGACAAGGCTTTACTGTATCCTTTGAATACTAAAGGGTATGAAGGGAAAATTAAGAACCAAGGAATGAATTGTTCGAATGTATATTTTAACATTTTTTTTTTTTTTATGACAGATGAACTTCAAATTTTGTACAAAATTGTTTATTGTCACAGAACTAGTTATTTTAAATTTTTGGTTGTTGTTCTCTTGTATTTCATTTTGGTGGATATATATTTATTGAAGCACTTTTTGAATATATATTTTTTGTTTGTTGCTTTCTTTTTAGTCAGTGCGTTGTTGTTTTCCGTTTGATAGTAAAACACACAGGTGAATTAATTAGATCCATGATACCTCGACTAAGCTCTTCTTCGAGGTGGGTGTCCCGATTACCGGAGTTTGCAAGTCGTGCTCTTCAGGTAGACCAGATGGAGCTGGATTCGGCGCTGTCGCAGATGTACTCACTCTGCTTGAAGCCCTCTCTAGTTAGCAAAATGAGCAAGGCACGTAAAATGACAAAAAATCACTATCACCGTGATGATCCTGCTTTTATTGTTCTTCAGGTGCTGGCCTTAGTCATTACAGTTGTGGCTTACGGTTTGGCACTAAAAGGTAGCTTACTGCAGATTATTTACAATATATTATATGAAGTAGGAGTGACTTACCTATTTATAGGTGTGATTATGGCATCACTAACTTGGGTGTTTGCAAATCAGTTTCTGATGAGTAGTAGTGGCAACCTGCATGAGGTATCGCAGGAGGCGGATTGGCATTACTCGTTTGACATTCACTGCAACGGTTTCTTCCCCTATTTTGTTTGGACAAGAGTAATCCAATTTATGATTTTACCGCTGCTCCTTCAGCCATCCTTTTTGGCGTGTCTGATTAGCAATTGCTTGTACATGATTGGGTTTGTGTTGTACGCATATATAGTGTTTCTTGGCTACTTGGAGCTTCCAATGCTGGTACAGCAGCAGAAATTGGTGTACCCGGTGCCTGTTATTGTGATCTTTATACTTTTTATTACTTTTTTTGCCAGGTGGAATTTGAGTCAGTGGAATTTGTCCCAGATGTGGCAAGATTAATTAATTTTCATCGTTTTTCCCATTTCCACTGCCGCGTGCGACGTCGGTACGTGCATCCCACATATCCTCTTGGAGGGTACGTGAAAGGGTAAAATAGTACGGAAAAAGAAAAAGAAAAAACGAGGGAAAAATGAGGAGGCTTTTCTTTGGGTTACAGCGTTTCCACATTTTTCCGTCAATTTCCCCATATATATGTGGAGGGAGAGGACATGGAAAATTTGAAAGGTGAGAGGATCTGTGAGCGGAATTTGTTGTTTATGCTGACTCAACCTGGCTTTGAGAAAACGGCTGAAGCGGAAAAAGTGGGATAAAAACAAAACAAAACAAACAAGGAAATAAATTTATTTTATTATTATTATTATTATTATTTCAATAAAAAAGACTTTTTTTTCCGTTTACCTCTGTCTCATGTTGGGCACAATTTATACGCACAATATTTCATATACGTGCATTAGGGGCTACGGTTCTGTAGCTGAAAGGGCTAAAAAGGGCAACAACAACGTAACGAGCCTACCATATATAGACATATATACTATATTTATATAGCTACATATTAAGGAAAATAAAACCAAAACCCGACAAGTGAGGGGTTGTTATGCTTCGTCGTAGTTTGATTCACCGTCGGTACCCATTTAACAAGCGTGGTCCTCGTGAGCGCAAATCATGGAAACATCATGTATTGACAGATCCTCCCAAGCCAATTCACTGGCGTGATCCAAAGGTCTGGACAAAGGATTTAGGTACCATGAAATCTTTCGATGCCCCTCAATGGGATCTGTGGCAAAATCGGGCACGCTCTGAAGATATGGATGAGGCCTTGCAGCCCTTTATGGACATGCCCCAGTCTCTCAAGGATCGACGCTACGATATTCCGTGGTGGGCAAATCCTTTTGGTGCATGGTATCTACAGAATATTCTCTCAGTAGAGTTGCTGAAGCTTCCCAGTCGAACAAATGCGGAGAAAATATCAATTTATAGAAATCGTAAGCACCTCTTTTCTTCTGGCAAGAAGGGGGAAACTATTCTGGACGATGAGATTTTAGGTAACATCATCAAGGAGAGATGGAGAACGTTGGAGTTTGGTGATCGCGACGCAGGCTATCCTTGCACGTTTAGTGATTATATTCAATTTCTTAACGAGTGGTTTAAGTCGCTTGACGAGGAAGGCATACAAAGATTACGTGAACACTTTGATAGACGGATTCGTCCCCTTTTAGCGGTGATGTCACCGGTAGATATACTCTGGTTGGAGGCCCTGACTCAGAACTCTCCTCATAATAAGGAACAGTTGCAACGTCGGATTGCGTTTCAGACAAGTCTTGGAACTCCAGAGTTTTTTGATATGTCAAAGCGACTTCGCTACGAAATCAATGAAGATTACAAGGTTCGTGATGAATTGGGTCCTGAGCTTTTTGCGCTGTGGAGCAAGGCGCCTGAGCGGTGGCCGCCAGAGCGTCTGTCAAAGATGTATGGTCTAGATTTTACATTGGTTCGCAAAATACTTGTGTGGCACCATTTTAAGGCGTGCTATGATGCCTGTGTGGAGCCAGATTGGACTCTGCCCAAGCGTCTTTTTGCTCTGGAATGGATTCGAGATGTTAGGGCACGTAAACACGGTTTATTTTACGGGAAAATGCGTTTTGCTGAACAAAAGATTACTTTTTACAGTGATCGGTTCCTGTTTCGAGACTTGGTAAATCGTCGAGAGGCAAGCTACGCCAATGTCTGGGAAATGGATGACCCCTATCGCTTTTTACAGACTGAGCAAGACTACGAAGACTACTGGGGTGATAACTACGACGTCTATCGCCGCATGTTTCCTGAGATGATTGGAAAAAGCGGTGAACCGGTGCAGCAATACGGACAAATGCCAGTTTGGGCAGGGCCACATCGTCAGCATGCCAATAAGTCTGAGCATAATTGGATGTTTGCTGAGATTGGTGTGAATGTGGGACATGAGGCTTTGAAGAAGCTGGAACTGGATCCTACAAACGAAAAGCGTCGGAGATTTGTCATTCGTCAACCAGATGGCACGCTTCGCTCCGCAAAAATGTCAGAAATGCGGGCGTGGTATTGGAAGGAGGAATGGGCAGATTTCCGTTTTTGGGCTCCTAACATGGAGTGGGGAATTGAAAATACACCATCGCAGGAGCAATATCAAGAGCATGTTCCAGACACACCGGATGCGGACTACCGCAAACAGCGTCGCATTCAATCTCGCCCAGTGAAGTGGTTTTACGAAAGCCATTACACCCGCACAGGCAACTTTGCGGGGTTTCAACCCCTCCGTTTTATGCAGCGCCGCACAGAGCGCGAGGTGCGCTGGCCTGACGTGATCAATGCGGCGGTGCAGATTCAGAAGCGAAAACCGAATGCTTACATCTTTAAGGCTATTCCTGAGATGTAATCTTGTTGCATTTGCTGAAAATGGAAGTGGCGTTCACAGGGTGATGGCCAATGAGATGGATGTGGGCTGGAACACTAATTTCTTTTCTGCTCTTTTGTTGTTGTTGTGCATGCTTTTGTGTCTTCTTTACTTCTTGCCTTTTTGAGGTCTCGTTGGGCTTGTCCTGTATTGTCTTTTTTTAAGTTGGTACTTTTTTTTTTTTCTTTCGGCTGTTGTGCATATGTGTGAATATGCATCTTTTTAAGGCAAAGGAAGAGCATACATTTCACGCTTGTCGTGTGCCATCTTGGCTGCTGCACAGATGGAGAATGAAAATTCGGGGCCGTTACCCGACACTAGGCCTGCAAAAGAGAGGACAAACGTCTATTCTGTCCCCCCTTTTTCGTATTACGTCGCGCCCAAAGAGGGAGAGCCCCCGGAAGAACCCTCGCCACCCACTTCAAAGGCGCACGAGCCTTTTTATAACTCGGAACCTATCTTTGGGGCTGGAGAGCGCTGCTTCTATGCACCGCCCCAAACATTCCCGGCGAACAATTTTGGTCGCTCTCTTGAGCAGCAGCGATATTTGAGAGAAATCAATAAACCATGTATTATTTCGTTGTGGGATCAGGCTTGTTTGGGCCACCTGTTCCCTGGCATGTTTGAGGGCAAGATTGACGCTATGGAGTTGTTCCATCTTCTTAAGATGGTTCTCATGGTGATGATTAACTCTGTGACTGTGGCGATTAATGTGTTTTACGGCACAACAGCCTCAGCGAACTTTCTTGATTGGGCCAGGACAATGTCCGGGGTTGTTTTCTTTTCCGAGTTCTTGGTGGTATACGCCTTGTTCCTGTTTCTCATCATTGTCACACTACATGCAATGGTGTGTGACAATGTCGGCGCCAAGCTTGCCGGTGACATCGCTGCTCTTTCAAATAGGATATCCACATTTTCTGTATTTCGTGTTGTGGCGATAGTTTCTCCGGCCTTTGCCATTAACCGCATTTTTCCTATATTTCAAAATGCAATGACTCTCACGGATTACCTCAGGGCGGTCGTCCTTCTTCTGTTGTGGCTGTGTGCGTGTTTCTTGGCGATGGCGGCTGTCATGCTGAAGATGACCCAGATTAGCTTTACAAGCACTCAGAGTATCACTAACTGGTCTCTTAGTGAGTTCATTCAACTCATTGGCCTCACTATGAATTTGGCTCGTTTAGATGATTCCTACACAACAGAAACTGAGGTGTTGCTGGATGCAGTTCATCACCACTTTTGCAGCCCTGGAATTCCAAGGGGTCTCAATCGTGCGGAGTGTTTATACACCCGCGTTTGCGACTATTTATCCCTTTCACGCCCCACAAACTATGAATACTTTGACGTCATCTTTAACTACCACTTTAAATACAAGCAGGATTCAGAGAAAATGACAGTGTGCATGAAGCTGCGCAAAATGTTGAATTATTTGGCCTTTGTACTTCGAATGGACAATTCCGTCCTGCGCCGCTTGCTCCAGATGTCACAATCACCTCTTCCCTTCTTTCAGATGGGGCGTGACGCCTTCGTTCAATCCTTCAAGGAGCACGACGAGTTGGGTATGCTCGTTGCGGTATGGCGCAGCGATCCCGCATCGGTGCCGGTAAAGATGTTTGCAAGGGAAAATAAAAAAGGGTTTGACGTCACCTACACCTGTGCAGATGGCCGCGAGGTGTGGGATGTGGAAAACTTGTCCCAGCTTCAGACTAACTCGGAGTCAGAGAAGAAGTTTTACGATGATATTGTGGGAGCTTGTCACTTATTTATGTAGACCACATAGAAACACGTATGTACATGTCTTATGAAACCTACGTGTTCTAGCAGTGTTTTTCAGATTTTTTTTTATTTGCTTTTGTTTTGTATTTCTGTCACATACTTAAAAAGAAAAAATAATCTGTTCTAAGCATCCCACATCCACTCTTTATGCTTCTGTACGCATTTGCCTTAATAACGATTGAGTGTTTGCTTCAGTTGAGAATGTGTGGACTGCTGTCCAATTCCGTTGTGTCCTTTGTGTGTATGTGTGTGTGTAGCGTTTTTTTTTCTTGTCTTTTTGCCCCTTTGCTTTCACTCGTGCTTATTCCTGCCTTCTTGATCTTTCCATCGTCGATCTCTTTTTGTTTTACTTATTCTGCTTTTTTTTTTTTGCTCTGTCCATAAACCGCTAACGGTGGAGAAACGCATTGCCGTGGTGTGGGGGCGTTTGATCCGTCACGCAACGAAGAGGAAGGAAGGAATAAAGGGGGAAAAAACAAGAGCAAAGGGAGAAGTAAAAAGGGAGGCAAAGGGACGGGGCAGTACCGGGAAGCAGAGCGGTATTGGATGCAACTGGAGGAGGAGCCGGAGAGTAAACACGAGAGGATTGCGGAATGGCGAAAGTTGAACACAAAACGGTACGGCTACCGCGCCGCATACCACGAGGCAGTCACACAAAAAGATGATGTGCCTCCAGAGTATCTGCGCAAAATGGTGAAGGACAACGGTGACCTTAGCGGGAAACGTTTCGGTACGGAGCGCAAGTTATGTGTTGCGTTATTGAAGTACATGCCACTGGCACTTTACAAGTTGCTTGAGAATATGCCGATGCCTTGGGAGGAGACACGGTATGTTAACGTTGTATACCACATGGGAGGTGTACTGACGCTCGTTGATGACACACCAACGGTCCCGGAGCAGTTGTATCTAGCTCAGTGGGGTTCCATGTGGACACGGATGCGCTTGCACAAGGTAGAACTTCAGCAGGAGGGAGGCGCTTTTCGTCGCATGGTGCACAAAGGCAATGAAAATGAACCTCCACTAGACTATGGTGATTACCTCATGGATCGTGATCCCCCACCAGCAGTGCATGACGAGCTTGACGAGGAGGATTTTGCAGCCATCACTGATTGGTTTTATGATCCTTTTCCCCGGTTGGTGCATCCAAATCAAATTCGTGGTTCACGTCGACCCAATGGGTATTATTTTTCCATCAGTGTTGTTGAGTCGCTCTTTCGTAGCGCCTCCCCGATACTACCGTTGCTGGATGATCGCAACTACTACTACCTCTGGGACCTAAGGTCGTTTTATACGGCAAAGGCGATGCATCTTGCGATTCCGCGGGCACCAAAGTTTGAGGCACCTCCTGCAGTGTATGAAGAGGACCAGGATTGGACGGAGTTTAACGATCTTCGGCGGATAATTCACCGCGACGATCCACGCAAGCCTCGATTTACGATGCTTACCGAACGGCAGATTGCATTTCCATTTTTGTACGGCGGCGTGGTGGAGGCAGTCACAGTGGCGCCCTACCACTACCCCGCGGAGGTTCGTGTGGAGAACGACGATCCTGCTCTGCCTTGCTTCTCGTGGAACCCTTCCATCAATCCTATTAAGGCTTTAAAACGGAATCACGCCGAGGTGACGGCGGCGAGTAAGGGTGCCTTGCTATCTGTGGCACTGCAGCATCTGCAGAATGGGTATGAGGCAATGAAGACGACGGAGACGACATGTACCGTGCAGCTTCCATCAGACTTTACTCCTTTTCTGGGGGATCTTCCATTGGAGGATGTGGACACCAAACAGGCCATGATGTTGGCATTCGCTCCTGCACCATACAACGCTTTCGAAGGTGAAATGAAGCGCCGTGTGGACATTCCTGTTGCAGAGCATTGGTGTCAGGATCCTCCGACGTTATTGTCAAGCGACACACGTGATAAAACTCTTCGTAGTTATACACAATTGTTGAAGCATCATGTCGCAAAGAATCTTAGTCGAGACCGACTTCAGACGCGGAAACGACAGAAAGAAAAAACTGAGGATGTCATGCAATCTTCTCGTCGATTAGATGAGCTTGGCAGTCTGGAGTTTTTTCAGAAGACGAAGATTGACTGGATGGAGGCCGCTCTTCAAGTTATGCGGCAGGGACACAACATGTTGGTTCAGCTGATTAACGTCAAGTGTCTCCCCTACGTTCACATTGATTACAACTTTGAAGCTAAGCCCACGCGTACGTTGACAACGAAGGAAATTAAGAAGAGTCGCTTGGGCCCGGCGTTTCATTTGATTCGTGAGTTGTTGGGGTTTATGAAGCAACTCATCGACATGCACGCGATGTATAGGCTTGGTAAAACGGACGCATTTCAACTCGCGGATGCAACACATTACCTCTTTGCTCATCTTGGACGTTTGACCGGTGTGTATCGGTACAAGTTACGAGCCATGCGGCAAATTAAACGCACCCGAGACTTAAAACATGTTCTCTACAGTAAATTTAATGTGGGGGAGGTGCTGGGGGGTCCAGGATGTGGTTTCTGGGCTCCGGCGTGGCGCGTGTGGGTGTTTTTCTTGCGTGGGATGACGCCGCTGTTGCAGCGTTACCTAGGCAATCTTACAGATCGCGTGCTTCGCGGGCGTGAATCGAAAGGCAAATACGACGGCAAGCGCATTACCCGTCAGAGGGTCGAGACGGATAAGGACGTAAATATTAAGGAGGCGTTTAGACGGGAGCTGCGTGAAATGCTTCCGGAGGACGTGCGCGCGGACGTTATTCGGACGATGGATCAACACATGAACGAGGCCTTTCGTCACTGGCGGGCTGGTCTCCAGTGGGCCGTGCCAGGCCTAGCCAAGTCTTTGACGGAGTTGGTCAACAAGTACGTTAAGCTACGAGCTGAGGAATACATTCGCGTCACACAATACCAGCGAAAACGCATCAATGAAGGGGATACGGTTGACAAGCAGGCTTTTATGAAAAATCTCGGTCGTCTAACGCGTCTAAAACTCATGGAAGAGCAAGAGCGTCAGCGGGCATACCTCGAGGGGCGAGATGCACTTGTGATTACCCCCGAGGAGGCCACTGAGATTTACCGCATGATGGCAAACTGGCTTAGTGACCGCGGATTTAAAAAAATTGAGTTTCCTAAAGTGTCACGACCAGCTGAGCTGCGACTCCTAGAGCTTTCCTTAAACCGTCTCCGGGACCAGCACAACATTGCGAATCGACTCACACAGGCCCAACGTGAGGAGCAGGCACGCATTGAGGAGGCCTTTAACTCTCCTCACGATACACTTTCGAAAATTATTGACTGTCTAGCGCGTGTACGCCGTTTTAAGAATGTTGAGGTGGAGTACATGGATACATTTTCAACACTGTATCCTATATACAATGTGGTGCCATCTGAAAAACTTGTGGACTCTTTCCTGGATCAGTACCTTTGGTATGAAGCCATGGACCAACAGCGTCTGTTCCCCAACTGGGTGAAACCCTCTGACATGGAACCTGTACCTGTTCTTCTGTACAAGTGGTGTCAGGGTGTTAATGACAGTCCTGGTCTGTGGGATGTTACACGGGAAGAATCTACGGTTTTGTTGCATGCAAACTTGGAGGACAGCTTTTTTGACAATGTGGACTGGAATTTGTTCCGCCCTCTGTTGGAACTAGTGATGGATAAGTCTCTGGTTGAATACATTGTTAGTCGCCATGACGTTGTTGTGGAATTTAAGGACATGAGTTACCAATGCCGGAAGGGATTACTACGTGGATTTATGTTTTCTTCGTTTTTGTCACAGTATTGGGGTCTTGTTATAGACGTGCTACTACTTGGGACGCAACGCAGTCAAGAGATCGCAGGATCCGCCAGGCGGCCCAACCCATTTATGACATTTATGCGAGACCCACTGCTTGCCACATCGCATCCTATTCGTGGATATTGTCGATACAAGAATGAGGTCTATGTTCTTCTTAAATATACAAAAGTAGAGGCGGACGATGTGCGACGGCGGTACATGGAGGAGACTAAACATGATCCAGACAAACGTGCTCTAAATGCCTCGGTGTATGGATTTAAGAATGCCAATCAGTGGCCAAGAGCTGCCAGGATGCGTTTATTTCTCAATGATGTGAATCTTGCGCGTGCAGTTCTTTGGGAATTTTGTGGCCGTCTACCACCAAGCATAGCTGAAATAAATGAGTCCAACACCTTTGTGAGTGTATACTCTAAGGATAATCCTAACCTGCTTTTTGACATGGGTGGTTTTTCCGTACGAATTCTACCAGTGTGTCGTACAGAAGAGGAGGTATTGGAGAACGAATCTACATGGAATCTCCAGCACGCTGCGAGCAAAGATATCACCGCAAGAGCGTTTCTACAGGTTGCACCGGATCATGTTAACCATATACGGAATAAGGCGCGCCGCGCTATTATGATGGTGGGTAGTTCTACCTTTCAGAGTATTGCGGCTAAGTGGAATGCGCTTGTTACTGAAATTGTGCCGTATTACCGAGAAGCGATTTTGGGGACCGACAGCCTCCAGAAGGTTCTTGCCCGAGCAGAGCATCGGATGCAGTCCAGGGTGATGATGGCGTTGAATTCAAGGTCCAAGGCACGATTTCCCCCGGCGATGTTTTACGCACCGACCGACCTTGGTGGTCTTGGGATGCTTTCCGTGGGTCATTCACTTATTCCTGCCCGTGACCTCATCTACTCTAGGACAACCAGTACAGGTGTGCAATTCTTTTATTCCGGCCTTACAAATGCTGATGACATACCTATCCCTAATGTTTTGCAGTACTACACACCCTGGGAGACAGAGGTTCGTGAAAGCGTTAAGGCATGGACAGAGTTCAGCGTGCGGGATCGTGAAGCCAAGGCGGCTGGTACACGACTCTCACTAGATGATATTGAGCCCATCATCAATAAAGGTATCCCGCGAATTCGGGTTCTCTTTTCTCGTCATGCCAAACTATTTCAGTTTGATAAGGGGTTTCGTTGTCGCATGGAGTTTCAGCGTTAC